AGATATAAAGCTAATGTCTGAATAAGTATTTCATATTTTTGTAATTAATTAAGATAAAAGATTATCTAAGGAGATAACAGGTTAAAAATATTAAAGCAAACTGAATCAGGTTCTATAAATAATACTTACCTATTATAAAGCAATAAGATGAGGCTAAGGATTTTCGTACGTTGTTGTTTTATTTAATTCATTAAGGTAACTATTTTTATGTACGATTATGTATTCCGAATACGGTTTATCTTTTAAACTAATAACGGAGAAAAGAAAATAGAATAAACTACCTCTGGTTAAAGATATGCTTTTTTCTATTAGAAAATCGATTTGTTGCTAACATTTAAACAATTAAGAGACATGAATACTTACCAATAGAACACGAAAAGACACTTACACAATATTAATATGTTTGTGTTGCAATAATAGTCATAGATTAAACGATTACCTGTAAGGAAGTTCGATCTTGATTATATGAGGAACCACTTCCGCATAGACCACCATGTAGTTACGCCTCTGGCGCAGAACGGATACTATGTTTACAGAAATCATAGAAATTTTTCTCACTCGAGACCTCCGCCACTGAAGTACGCTCATTATGGTTTCTAGTGCCTAGATCGCAGAACATATAGGGTGGGTATAGACAACCTGATATAATATTATGTTCAGGGATGGGTTTGGTCTATGCGGAAGTGGTTCCTCATATAATCAAGATCGAACTTCCTTACAGGTAAGTCTTTTAATCTATGATTATATTTTGGAACCACTTCCTTATAGACCACCATGTAGATGTTTAAAGACTAACTGCGATCTAGATCGAGACCATAGAAGAGGAAAAAGAAAAAATAGAGAAAAATACATAACAACTATAACCTTTAATTATAGTGAATTTTTATAATAATATGAAATTCCTATAATATAAGTTTGAAATTTTCAACAATAACGATTAGATTCTATATAATACTATAGCAAACATTGTATAAACTACCTATATGTAATACCATTGTATATGAATTTTTAAAGTAGCTCAAGAGGTTTATGGATGTAAAGCACCAGATGGCGTGGCGTATTTCACGGTCTTTTACTACGGAAAAATATTTTTTGTTACTCTGAATTTTGAAGCGACCGATAAAAACAGAGAAAATAAAAATCGATATTTTTCGGACTGTGCCAATTGGTTACTAATCGACCAGATACTTTTTGTCTATTAGATATGCTATTAAAAGCTGCTAATTATACAATTCGACCATTGTAAATACCCGACAAATTCCGCAACCAACGAGGCCGATGCTTTTCACTGATAAGAAAAAAACATGTTTCTTTAGATCATTTTCGAGATATTTTTTCTTTCTGAATGCACATTTTTAAAGTATTTTATATTCTTTGTCCCCTGATCTATTATACTGGTCGCACGTATCGAAGTTCTGTTTCTTCTAGTTTTAAAAAATGTTCTTATTTCTTTGTAGTTGTAGTGGTTGTAATGTAAAATTAGATTAATTTTATTAAGTTTAATTATAATGTTCAGTGTAATACCAGTTTAATTATAATGCTACTAATACCAGAAATAGTTTAGTAGTGTTTTTATAGTTTATTATTTTGTAGTTAAGTAGTAGGTGAAGGGATAATTTTGTTATTTTTTCTTTTTGTTTGATTAATTAGTAAGTTTGATAATTTTTTCAGTGTAGAATACAAGAAGTAGTTGTGTAGTGTTTTTACAAGAGATTATATTAGTTTATTTTGTAGATTAGTAGTAGGTGAAGGTATTTGGGTATCTTTTCTTTTTGTTTTTCTTCTAATTGTAGTATTTCTATTAAGTATTGTGATAGATACACTATATCTTCCTTCAAATTCGTTGAAAAGTGCGTTATCATATAATTTTGGTTTTCTGGTAGTAGAATATTCGAAAAAAAAATCTGATCAAATTTATTTTAAATTAAATTAATCGAGTCTTATTAATCAAATTAATCTAGTCAAATAATAATAATAGTTAGTTTCTAAATACTATACAGGGTGAGTTTCCTACGATGTTCTCTATGGGTATATCGGAAACTACTGGAGATAGAGGGTCGGTTAAATGGGAAAAGAATTGCAGTTTTGTGGGGTCATAAATATGCGCCTTTCGGATTTTTCGGAGAAGTTCAAGGCTTACTAAATATTTCGAAAAAAACAAATTTTGGGTATTTTAAAACTTGTCTCTAATTCCATTATAATCTACCGTATGATCGAATAAAAACGGCGTCAACGATGGCTATGAAATGAAGACCGCTGTCATTTTATACGTAAAATTATATGGGAAATATCATCGATCGTCATTTCATAGCCATCGCTGACGCCGTTTTTATTCGATCATGCGGTATTTTAGACAAAAAGTTTTCAGATAAAAGTTGTAGATAATCACATACCTAATAAGTTTGTGTTTTCTGTTTTTTTTCTAAAGCCTGTCATTTTTGACATATGACACAAACATTATGTTTTTTAAATGGAAACCATAGTTGGCCATGACTTCATAAAAAGCGCCATTTTTTAAGCTTTTCAGCGATATAGGTATAATATGTTTTTTTCGAAAAATTACAAGTTATAGCCAATTCTTTTTCTTCTTGGCTGATTTCGGAGCATGGGATTACAGCGATTATATGGCTGGCATCGAATTGAATTAGGCAGCCATAGGTGTTAAAACACGGAGTCGACGAGTACGAATTACGCATCCCAATTTTAGGATGTAAATTACTGGAAACAGCGATAGATGGAGCGACGTTGCCAAATATTTCATGCATATATGTGTAAAGAAACTAAATGGCATGACAAATACCAATTAAAAAAAAAGAAAATTGCTAATGGATTGAGAGCGTAAATATAATTATTTAATTTTAAAAAGACAAATACTAAAATATACCAAAATGTAATAATAGAACATAATCATAGATTAAACGACTTACCTGTAAGGAAGTTCGATCTTGATTATATGAGGAACCACTTCCGCATAGACCACCATGTAGTTACGCCTCTGGCGCGGAACGGACACTATGTTTACAGAAATCAAAGAAATTTTACTCACTCAGGACCTCCGCCACTGAAGTACGCTCATTATGGTTTCTAGTGCCTAGATCGCAGAATATATAGGGTGGGTATAGACAACATGATATAAAAAATGCAGGGATGGGTTTGGTCTATGCGGAAGTGGTTCCTCATATAATCAAGATCGAACTTCCTTACAGGTAAGTCGTTTAATCTACGATTATATTTCGGAACCACTTCCTTATAGACCACCATGTAGATGTTTAAAGACTAACTGCGATCTAGATCGAGACCATAGAAAAGGAGAAAGAAAAAATAGAGAAAAATACATAACAACTATAATTTATATATTTAATTATAGTGAAATTTTATAATAATATGAAATTCCTATAATATAAGTTTGAAATTTCCAACAATAACGATTAGATACTATATAATACTATAGCAAACATTGTATAAACTACCTATAGGTAATACTTAAGTATATTACAATAATTGAACAACTTAACCATGTAATAACAAGAGCTCCATTTTATTATTGGGTATAACTAAAATGTTCAGTATTATTTTAGAGAAAGGAGGGTTTCTGCAAAATCTGAAGAATTTAAAATAGGTTTTTTGTAGAATTTTGCAAAAACGTTGGAGTTTTTTGACCAACCAGCTGCATTTCGTATAGTCTCTATATCTACCCCCGCTCTAACCGCAGCTGAAGTGGAAGCATGTCTGGTACTGTGTCCTTTAAATTTATTCGTATCTATTCCACTGTCAGCCATAACTTTCTTTACCCACCTAGAAATTGTTTGAACCGAAGCTCGACGGTAAGGCTTTTTATGCGTAAGAAAAAGATAAGATATATTCTCCCTAATATCTTTAGTCCTACGAATATAGGTTTGCAAAGTGTTAGCTACGCATAGCTCAGGTTTTTCAAAAAAGGGTAAATTTATTATAGGCTGGACTATATTAGGCCCCGAAGTTTTAATCAAATCGGTAATTTCAATTTCAATACGGTCATCTAAGTTGTATACATTTGCAATGCTAATTGTGGACAAGGTCTGCATCCTCTGAGAAGAAGCTAAAGCTATTAAAGCTGCCAACTTTAACGTTAACTTTTCTAGTGATAAAGATTCTAAGGGGAAAAAAGTAGATAGATATCTTAAAACAATACTTGGATCCCAAGTAGTGGAATATCTCGGAAAAAACTGGTTTTAATTTAAATACATCTTTAAGAAATCTACTAATAACACCTTCATCTTCAAATTTTTCGTACAAAAGCTTCAGCGCCAAACGATGAGAATTGAGTGTTGAATAACTACTACCTTTTTCAAATTCTAAAGTAAAGAAACTACTTATATCCTGCATAGAAGGATTACTTAAAGATACATTTTTTGAACTAACAAATTTCCACCAACGCTTTAGAGAACTATCAAATTGTTTTAGCGAACTAGGACTTAACGATGCTATTAGCATTTTAATTGCAGCTTCTGGGACATGTTTTTGGATGTACAGGGTGTCCCACTAAGAATAGCTCCTGGCTCTCGGAAAAAATATTTATAACTAAAGAAGCTATGAGAAATTACTGGAAATTATTTTCAAGTTTGTAAAACCACCGCTGGAGTTTTTACACAACTTTGCTTAGATAAGGTGTACTATAAGTAATAGCTTCATAATCTTCACTAAATTTTAAATATTTTTTTTAGAGCCATTTTCCCCTATCTACCAAAATAAAAACTAAAAAAAAATCTAACCTTCCCCCACCACTTTATTTTAGCAGATAGGGGAAAATGGTTCTAACAAAGAAAATCCAAAATTTACTGAAGATTCTGAAGCTATTATTTATAGTACCCATTATCTAGGCAAAATTCTGTAAAAATTCTATTTTCTTATTTTCCATAGCAGTTGCGCCCCCTAGCGGCCGTTTTACAAACTTGAAAATAATTTCCAGCAATTTCTCGTAGCCCCTTTAGTTATAAATATTTTTTTTCGTAAGCTCTACGGCTAAAACTTTCCGAGATACAGCCGAGAGCTGTTCATAGTGGGACACCCGGTACTGTTCCCTGATAAGAGCCCCACTACCAGGATAATCTTGTCCCATAAGGGGTGGCTCTCCCTAAAAGGAGAAACAATTAAATTAGGACTGGGGTTAAAATACAAAGGTTCTGTAATTAGTAGTCTTGTAAAGACTGGGTACCAGGGCTGAGTACGCCAATCAGGAACTACTAATATGCCTTGCGCCTTATCAGTAATGATCTTATTGAGAATTTTAGAAATAATTGGAATTGGGGGAAAAGCATAAAAGAAAAAGGTTCACTTCTGAGTAAATGCATAGACAAAAATAGAATCTGGATCTTTTTTCCACGACACATATTTTTTACACTTAGCATTCGCTTTAGAAACGAATAAATCTACTTCTGGTTTGCCAAAGGTAGCTACTATTTGTTGAAAACTAGAAGAGTGTAACGAATATTCTGTTTCAATAGCTAAAGAACGTGATTCGAGATCCGCCTCTACATTGTCTTTTGAAGAGACGTATGACGCGAAAATCCACAGGTTCTTTTTCTTGCACCATTGCCAAATTTGTTTTAAAAGCTTATGTAGCTTTTTGTACATTACCTCCCCCATTCTGTTAATATAGCTAACTGCAGTTGTATTATCAATCCGCACCAAAATATTACAATTTTTCTTGTTTCTTGCGAAACATTTTAATGCGAAAAAAACTGCAAGGAGTTCCAAATAGTTAATATGATGATTAGCCTCAGTTTCTGTCCAGAACCCATGCGATTTTTCTATACCACAAACCGCTCCCCAACCTTTAGTAGAAGCATCTGAAAAAAATTTCACAGTCAAAGATGGGGGAACCTAGATTTACTCCCGACTTTGTGATATTATTGAGCAACCAATGAAGATCATTACGGACTTCAGACGGAAAAAATCAAATTCTACTATTATAATTATTTTGATTATCTTTTAATGAAGTATATTTCAACCTTTAAAGAGATTTGGTATATAACCAAGCATACCAAGCATAAACAAAAGTTGGGCTTATTGATACGAGGTATCCCAAAACTTAAGCTAATTGACGAATTGTACAATGTTTACCATCTAAAATCTTTAATATCTTTTGAATAGTTATTTTTTCTTTATCTTTAGGCAACAATAACATAAATGTTTTGCTATCGAATAGAAATCCTAGAAATTTACATGAATGTGCCGGATTTAGCATACTTTTTCCAAACTTTGTCAAAAAGCCTAAGGCCTGAAAGGTTTTAATAACTATATTGGTATCATAAACACATTGTTTTATTTGACTTGCTCATAATTAACGAGTCATCTAAATACATCACTAAAACTATGCCTATCGACCGTAAATGATTTAATAATAAGTAAATAGGTTTACACAGTTTCGTAAAAACATAAGGCGCAGAACATAAACCAAATGGAGCAAGTAAACTCAAATGTGAGGCCCTCAAATACAAATCTAAGATACGTTCTGTGCTTCTTGATTACTGGAATTAAAAAATATGCTTCCTGTAAATCTAAAGAACACATATAAACATCCCTTGAAATAATATTCTTGATCGACTTAAAATTTTCTATTTTAAAATGGGATACACAAACTTATTTAATTGTTTCAAATTTAAAACAAATCTATGACTCCCATTCGGTTTCAAAATTAAAAAGTAGGAAGAGACAAATAATTGATTTTTATGTGGTCTGCATTGTTTGACAGCCCCAATAGATTGTTACTGTGAAATACAATTAGAATATTTTTGACGCTCATCATAATTATGAGCCTGCCTTGGTTTTTTTCATGGAAGGAATTGAATATCCTTTAACCCATTGTAAAACTGTTTCATTTTGGGTTAAAACAGCCCATTGATTATAAAACTTTTTTATCCTCCCAGCATATTGAATGTCGTTTACCTCTAATATCTCCTCCTGGATGACTGCTGCCCTCTTGATCCTTGAGACCTCCTGCTGTATGTCGCTTGATGGCCTCGAGCGTGGTCCTTCCATTTGGTTTTGGGATAATGGCTAGGTGGAAGAGGTTCTTTCAGCACAAAGATACCCTTCCTAAAGTTCTTCGTTGGAGCTTTCATTTGTTTACTCGATTTTTCTGCCGCTTGGGCAGCCTTAAAATGTTCGGTAAAACCTGAACCAAACAGAAGAGAGTCATGAGTACTCTCCTCAGCAACTTTTCTTACGAGTGGATTGAAATTTGGCAAAATTTCATGTTTGCGATGTTTTGAAAGTAAAAAATGAGTCTCGCAAAAATACTGCGCTGCTTCCGCCAACGCCGGTGTAATCTTCTCCTTCACGTCTGCAGGAAACTTGTCAGCTACTAGGTCGTTCAGGATCGTCCCTAATGCACTGAGACCCTTCCCCATTTTTTCTTGAACATTTCCCAGATAATTATCTTTCTTAATTCCACTCGCTGATATCATGCCAACAAGGTCGGGATTTAATTTTGGAGGATTTAATCCTGTACAATTAGCTGGAATCGTCCATTTTTCCATCAATTTTTCACGAAGTTTGCTTTCTAAGCCTTTTGTTAGGTAAGAGGACCACCGAGATACTATGGCATCCTCTAAGGAAACTCCAGGATCCACTATGGCCGAAGGATCATCACCAAGGAAATTTTGATTTTGAATTACTATAGGAAGATCGCCGCCGGAATCTGGCGACCTTATACCAGCCCTCTCAGCTCCTTCGCTGCAGGAGGAGGAAGAAGATGATAATATACGACGACGTTTAGGACGTAGGTTCCTTTCTAGCGATCTGGAACGCTTCTGTGATGGGCCAGCTTCCGTACTAGCAGACGATGAAGACGATTCACCGCTACCTGATAGGGGAAAAAATAAAATAACCTTCAGGCTTAAAGTCAAATCTGAATTATATGTATAATTAACATAATATTAACCGTATATTTAGCTTATGAAGAAGATATTTCTGTTTGTATTATAATGATATTAATGTAAAACTGTAGCTAAATAAATAAATAAAATTTAAAAAATATCTTTATATTAGAAGAATAATATTCTATTAAAATTAATAGAAACGCCACTGCCTATATTATAACAATTTTAGCAGTCTTCATAATTTATCTTCAAACAGCCCGATGGGTATTGTTTTTCCTATCGGTGCTGCATCGGCAACAGACCAAAAGTAAACAGTTGGTAAAAACGCTCAAACGCTCAAAACGCTCCGATAAAAGTTCGGAACTCGATTCGATGCAGAATTTTAAAAAACAAATTCAATTAGCCTGAAGAAATATTATGAAATTTTTTGCCGTATAATTGCCAAATTAAATCACAATCTTTACGTAGGTAGCTAGTACGTAACTAGACACTAGTATGGTAAAGTTATACATAGTGTCCCTTAGTTACTTTCTGGTGCGGTAGAATTGCACATAATCTGATTTCACTATTTATGTTTGATTGAATTCAATGACATTTTTGCTTCTTACCTAAAGGAGAAATAAATTTGAATGTTTGTACTTACTTGATATATCATTCACTAGTTCCATGAATTTGTACATTTTTGCTTTTAATTTCTCCCGCTTTGGGGTACGCACTCTATGGGCGGGCATGAGGACGCGACGCGACCTGTACCGTTCCGGACTAGAAAGCATAATGAGCGTACTTCAGTGGCGGAGGTCCTGAGTGAGCAAAATTTCTTTGATTTCTGTAAACATAGTGTCCGTTCCGCGCCAGATGCGCAACTACATGGTGGTCTATGCGGAAGTGGTTCCAAAATATAATGAGTGATTACTCTTATCATGTTTTCTTAAAAAAGCATCGCTGAAATCGCCCTTGTTGATTGGTTGTTCAACTTGTCAGACCTCAAGCCATTGGTTAATTTTTCTATCATGTTTTGTATTTATGTCGATATATATTTTGCTTTATTTAATCCTACTTAATACCTAGATAAAACAAATCTTGACGTCATTATCGTCATATAATTATTAATATAAATATATATCTTTTGTTATAAATTATCGAAATGTTGTGTCTTGATAGTTTGTCGATTTCGATATCCCTGGTGAGATAACGCGCATTTTCGGTATAATGACGGTAGTAGATAAGCAAAGAGAATTCTGCCGCAAAACCCCATGCTTTATCTAATGGAGCTACAAAACCGTACTACTATATACTTCAAGCATTCTGTAGCGTTTTTTAAACAAGTACCACTGCGAACGGCAGCTTTTCATCGGAGAGCAGTCGTAGATAAGGTATTTATTTCACTGGAAAGAAAATTAATTAATAATAATAAATCAAAAATACAAATATTGGGCGCGAGGCATGAACAGAGAAAGAAAACACAGTTGTTTATTACTTAAAACTAGTGACTATATTCATTCATGATGTATTCTGATGGTAAATAGCATTGTACAATTTTAATAATTATTATAGGCAATTTTAATAATTATTAACTGGCAGAATGTTGGCCGCCGTTCAGATGTCTACCATTCTGTATGCATAAAGGTCTGGGGAAGGGCCGTTAAAGTGAAGAAGAATAGGGAAAGGTTAAGGGCAGTTCAAAGACGATTGGCGCTGCAAATATATCAAGGGTACCGCACTATATCAGCAGATGCGGCAGAAGTAATTAGTTGCATGATACCGATAGATCTTCTAATACTAGAGAGGATGCAGAGAAAGGCGTGTCCGGATAGATCGCGAGAGTATAACCGGGAAAAAATACTGAACACATGGAGCGACAAATGGAAACACAATATAGACGGGAAAGCGCAGTGGACAAGACAACTTATACCACATAAGGTATAAGAAACTGGATAGATCGAAGCCATGTAGAAGTTACCTACGCTATGACACAATGTTTATCAGGACACGGATGCTTCAAGAATTATTTATATAAAATGAAACTTACCGATAGTCCAAAACGCATCTTCTGTGACCACGATAACGACACAGCAGAGCACACAATCCTGGAGTGCAAAAGGTAAACCTCTGAAAGAAATAAATTAATGGAGAGTCTAAATACAGAGAAACTAACTTACACTAACTTGGTTCCAACGATGCTTAAGTCAAATGAGAACTGGAAAGCAGTTCGGGAATATATGGAGGCGCTGATATCTGCAAAGGAAAACGAAGCCAAAAGGTTTGGAAAGTAAGAAAAAAGAAGAATAATTTGAGTTTACTTACCATACTGCTCTAGTACTGCTTTGTACTTACCACACTCGCTAGTGTCCAATTTTGACTGAAGTGCTCAATTACCTGCAACATCACAATAAAACTGCCTCCCCCAGAAGTAATGCCAAAAGGTAGTTCCTTGGGGAGATACTCAAATCATACTCAGGTTTGTGGAGGTTTTTTAGTCAGTAAGGTACCTCAACCACCCCGACAGTACCATTTACGGTCTCTGGTTTGCAGATTTTCCCCCACAAAAAAAAATATTATAGTGGTTATATGTCGAGTAAAAAGCTATGTTAGAAGTAATATTAAATATATTCAATGAAAAGACTATAAAAAAATACCATACATGTAAAGCTATAGAAAATGTATAAAAGGTAGCATTACTTTAATTAATTTGATATATTTTATATGATGTGTTAAATCGAAGATGTTGCAACCCGTAGATTCTAGAATCTATGTTTGGTTATTCATCTGTTAAAATAGCGCAATAATAATATCTATGAAAGTAATACTATTACAAGACGTAATGTAATGAAACCTAAGATCTAAATCATATTTTAAATACTGAATCGACGTGAATGTTTTTAACGATCTAACCACTAAACATAGTCTGTACGATATTATTTAAGATGTACGTTATGATGTTAAGACTGAAAATGTTTTAAATGTAAAATGTAAAACTAGAACTTAAATCTACACTTAGCTGTGTTCTTTATGTAATCATGATTCAAACAGTAACAGCGTGAGGTGGGCTCATATCTCTGTACTTTCTCTCGGCTATCCTGTTGGCCAATACAACAAAAGGAGCCAGAATGAGGACGCCATGAATCAATACAGCCGTAACTACTGACTAGGCTTACAAATGGGAACGAAGCAGCATGGGGCTTACGCTACATCCATACTGTGGCAATATGGGGACACTACCCTACCTTAGATACTGTCCGTATCTCGGACATCCAACCATAAGATAATGTCCGTAACTTGGACATCCATCCATAAGAAAATGTCAGTAACTTGGATATCCGTCCATAAGATCCTCGAAATACTTCCGAGGGCTCTATAACAAACAAAGGCACTGTCCTTTCTTCCAGCAAATACCTCATAAGCAAAATACAAATACGAGTTAAGGTGGGCCAATCCAAAACTCTACCCTAAAAATACTCAATAATAATATCGAATCTAAAAAAGATAATAACTCATCTTTACCTGTAGCTTCCAAACGGCAGCTGATTCAAATTATGCAGCAAAATTTAAATTACCATTTCTAAAAGTCGGTCGCAAACGCCGCAAACCGGCCAAAACCAAAAGTGAGGTTAAACGCAGAGAGCGAAACCTTGGAGCTTTGAGGGTGCAGCCACACTATCCTAAAAACGGCGTATCGGCGTAACGGCGTAATGACCTTGAATAGATTTCCAGTAATTCTATTGGCTGAAACATTCATCTGTCAGAAATTTTATCTGTCAAATTCATCTGTCAAAAATTTCAGCCAATAGAATTACTGGAAATCGATTCAAGGTCGTTACGCCGTTACGCCGATACGCCGTTTTTAGGATAGTGTGGCTGCACCCTGAGCGATGTTGACAGCGCCTCCACAGAGCAGTGAAACGATAGTAGGATTGTTGAACAGAGAACGTAAAAATTACGCCAAACGTTTCAAATAAAATATCAGGCCTAAAACTTCGGAAGTACTATAAAAATAAGTGAAAAAGTTCGTATAAATGTATGTCCTCAAATGCTTAGTTTCGGAGATACAGGGTGTAGAAGTTTATTTTTATTTCGATTTTTTCCAAATTATTTCTGAAGTACCGTCAACATTTGGATGAAAATTGGTATCTACGAGTTTTTTGATATAAGAAATTTGATTTTGATGTCAATATGATGGAATTCTCTAGAATACTTCTAGAGAGCACCACCTACATATTTTTTAATTGGTTTGAAGAGTAATAACTTTTCGTTCGTATTTGTATAAAACTACTAAGTAAAAAAATATACATTTATGACGTTAATCATGTGAAAAAAATGTCTCTTGGAAAAATTCGCTACGAGTTATGGTTCTCAAGATATTTGGAATCGAAATTATCCAATACCTGTCATCGACATAGATTAAACATGTCGACTAAATAGTTATTAGACTAAAATCAAAACTATCTACTCAACATGTTTATTTTTTGTCAATAATGACATGTATTGACTATTTCCATTCGAAATATCTGGAGAACGGTTGCCCGTACCGATTTTTACCAAGTGGCATTTTTCACAGTAGTTTTATACAGGTACAGACGAAAAGTTATTACTCTTCAAAACAGGTAAAACACATGTAGGTGGCGCCCCATAAAAATATGAGTCACATTGACATCAAAATCAAATTTAACAATAAAATTTCCACCGCTCGCTATTAGTTTAAGCAATATAAATTTATTTATCACCGTGCGACGCCGAGTAGATTCTTATCATTAAGAAGGAATACTGCTGCTACCCCTTTGGAATGATAAGAATCTACTAGAGAAATATCAACTTTATTGATCAACTTATTGATTTCATTTACTCTCTTTATGAAAATTGTGGATTGATTAGCTTAATAGAATTCAAGAGATTGGAACTATATTTATCTTCTAATATAAATAATTGCAAATTATTAATTAATATTATTATCAACCCATAGTTTCCCATTTATCTTTATCCCAGGCTTGAGGAAATTCCTTAAAGTGATAACGCCACCCGGGCTCGTCTGGCCCAGTCCGACCCATATACTTGCTATACCAGATCCGTTCGGTAGACAAGAAAGGTAATGCGGCTAGCACTAAACTTCATCCACCTAGTATTGCCTCAGCCTACTCATTGTAAGGCTGAGTCGACCAAGGTAACAAAAATTAATTTTCTACTACAAACAAAACACTAAATCAAAGTTCATGTACAAACATTAACTTTAAAAACAAAAAATATAACAGATTATGAATTGCTCGCGGTAGAATTCGTATGAGCCGAAGAGGTTTGTCTATTCTCCTTAAAAGTAAAAAATATCTTTCTAAAAAAATTAAAATTTCATACTTCTAAAGATTTGTAGAGTCAACTTTTGGCCAATCAAATTCGACGGAGAGCAGCTTATGATCTGCTACATTTCTTGCGTCTAAAACTCGAGGTGGTTCTGTTGGAAAGTTCACATATATATGATCAATTATTGCATAGTTCCCCTTTTCCCCATTTATCGAATCATTTTTTGTCGATTCTTTAATTATTTGCTTCAGCTTATAAGGCTTAATTTTTCTCTTTAACTTAGAAACTTTACTTTTATTTTTCTTTGAACTATAGTCGATATTTATATCACCCGTAAGAAATATCTTTGCACATTGGAACTTTTTAGTTAATTTTTTTAGAATTTTCTGAGTTGATTTTAAAAACGATCGAACATGAGGAATGTTATTGTTTGTTGACGTACGATAAGCGACCCCAATTATTATAGACGAACTATCTTCATCGTTCGAAATTTTCAACCATAGTTGGTCAGAGAATTGGTCGCTATAAGTTGCCACTACTTCATGTTGTATAATTCTTTTTAATATAATGGCAACACCACCTCGT